TATTCGCCATTAAGTACATGTATTGCCATTTTAATTGTCTTCGACGAATCGATCTAGCGCACTGCACTGCAGGGAGGAAATTATTCTCACGTATGGAATTCATTCCTCCCTCACGAAAAATTAAACGAAAATTTTTAATTTCTCTGGTTGCAAGGCACTTTCTTTTACCACCGAGGGTCTCATGTTAATGTACGACAACGGTATCTCAATGGCTTGACTTTTACACTTAAAGAGAGGGGAAAAAAGGTGCATTAACACAACCGTGAACGCTGTAATATAACAGTAGAATGGATGCACTATGAAACGTGTTTCCGGCGATGGCAAAGGTTACTCGACTGACTGCCATTGTAGTTGGATATAAATGCAGCATGGAAAAGTCAGCTATTCAAACCGAAATGTTAACACCCCCATTATTAGAATATAAAATATGACACAATTTTCCATGGGCTCATCACCCATGATTTCTTTCGCAAAAAGAACAAAACATCAATGAAAATATTCATTTGTCAAATCAACAAATCCACCATCAACAAATTAATTTTTTCATTATCTTATTCAATTTAATTATCAATTTCAATTAAATAATTGTTGAATTGCTGGTGCGAAAATGAGATACAACTGCACATTAATGAGATGGGAAATCACTGGTGCAGATGACTATAAATACCACTCGCATTGAAATAAAGCCGAGCTGAGGAACTGCATTGGATGTTCTAGCGATTGGCATAAAAGCGTTATTGGAAGAGGTCATCGGGTCCAAACGCTTCCATATTCATCAGGGGAATGTGCTCTTCCGTTTCATTCTGATCCCAGTGCAATTGGATATTCCAACCTGTCTTTATTAACCCGGGACCAATAAGTCGCATTTCCCCCTCTCTCCACTTCTTCAAATTCCAACACTTACACTCCAACCCTTTCCATAATTATATACACAATACTTTTCCATGAGTAATTCAGCAAAATCCAATAATTCCAAAAATAGAATAGTCTCTTATTTCCCAATGATTCTACAATGAGTGGAAAAAACTCATTGAATGCTCTCCACTCGTTATCTGAGTTAATAAGATTTATTGCAGGAATAAATACTTATTTTAACGTCTGATGACCGATCGAAAAAATCATGGACGAGTCCTTTTTTCCCACCGATGATTACCACTCATTATCCGTAAATTTCGTAATATCATATCAGTAACCTTTGAGACTGTATCCTCGAACCTTTCCACGACGACGAGTCTCCCCCGAGGTTATCATTGTCCTGCAATGACTACTCGCTCTGGGTCATTGCAAATTAACCCGTAAACACTCTATCTCCCCTTCCATCCAGCTCAATCATTCGGTAACAACTTTGATAACAAGACTATTTTCTTGTGCAATAATTTCAGTGTCTTATTTTTCGCTTGGTTTCTCTTGATTTCAAAAAATTATTTCACCATTACATTTATCAACGGACAAATCATTCCTAAACTTGAATATCCATATTTTATTATTTCCACTCAGTTCCTAAAACAGAGGATGAGATTAATTCTGCTATTGCTTTCTCATCCGAACTTGTCGAACTCGTGGTAATCAATCACATGAGGATGATAATGCAGAATGAATTACGGAATAATCGAAAAAAATAACAGTTGAAAAAATATTCCCCCAGAAAATGGGACGGATGCATTAGAATGTGAGAATCGTTGCATAAAGATAAATCAGATGGCCCTAATAAACACTTTAATGATAGCCAGTGTCTGAAACCGAGTGCGATAATAATTCATAATGTAGCAGGCGTGTATTATTAGCACTGGGTAAATGAACATACAGAAAATAGGAAATATAGAGCAGTGGTGGGAGGCAATCGACATAACAGGCATTCGGGGCAAGCGTTCATCTTGTTATTCACCCGTAAATATTCGACAAAAAAATAATTGAGGGTTAAGGAAAAAATTAAATAATTTGAATTCCTGATGAAATCTCCGGGTGTGGAATCATCACCGGCAATTACCGCAATTGTGAAAAATAAAAGCAGTACTGCAGAATATTTATCTGCTCTATTAATTATATCGGTTCGGCCCACAACACTCGCACTGCAGATCGTAATTACACGCGTTCTGCCACGCCTCAGCGTATGTACGCGTGAATTTTCATTGGGATGAGAATAAAAATAGAAATAAAGGGAAAATACATACAGAAGTAAGACCATGTGGAATTCCGTGACGACCCCGTACCCGCGATATCCACCGTGATTCATACCCCAACCAGATTCTCTCCTCCACAAATGCATCGGTAGAAAACCCATAAAACCTATTATCGTAAGTTGATCCTTTATTTCTTTCAATTTCTTGTAATCAGCTCCATCCGCTTCTTTGTTTTTTTACTTTAAGGGGCTTTTTCCAAGTGGAAATACCTGTATTCGTCATACCGCACGTGATTTTTTAACATATATCCTCGGTGTACGGGAAAAATGTGGAATTGTCGATATCATATATATTTTTTATATATTTTTACACGGGGAATGCACTGGTGTCGCAGTCCAACAACCGGTCTCGCCATATTAGTCCGCATGTGGACTCGTCCGCGCATTAATATCTATTGCATGTGTATTCATGAGCCATCGTGACGTCAGAATTCTCTAGATCATTGCCAAATCTTCGCCACGGGCTTTATTTTTTATCAATCCAAGCCCTAATAATATATAATGTACAAAACGGATATATTGCCATTTTTATTTGGTAATCCTGCACTCCGCCATTTTATTCGACCTCCTTGGTCCATTGGAGATGCTCTGCGCAACCTCAGAAGGATATCATTTCCATCCACACCATAATCTCTCCCTTATGATTATTTTTATATCTCAGCATGAAATATAAAAATAAACTGACCAATGACGTGCCGTAAAAATTATCAGAGAGATAAAAATCATTAGAAAATTCGTGAGCAATATTTTCCTATTGAAAGCGAAATGATAAGGCCTGAAAATTCAACTGTAAATCCACCATTTTATTTGAGAAAAGGCGGTCCAGAGGGGATGCTGTGCGCAGCATCGTGGGTGGTCTCGACCCACCCCCTAGCAACCCCTCAAATCTTCTAGGGGAGGGAATCATTCGAACGAAAAATTAATCAACCTTTAAAATTGCTGATTCAGAATTTTTTATGTTGAAATTTACCTCAGCTTAAAGGCAATATTAGTGAAATATTTTAGTCGGTATGACGACGAAGGAGAGGGTGCGGTCTCCTCGGTTCGAAATCAATATCTCGGACATCCCCTTATTCACTCTTTTTTACCCCCAGAGTGGGCTAGCCGCATTCTCAACCCCCACATGCTGCTAGTCACATGGTGGTCAGCGAGTTAATGCGATTGTGATTGCATAAACTGGAACAATATGATTAATGAGATGATTTTTCAGCACGAGTTGAGAATTCCAGTGGGAGGGGAAATAAATGTGCGTTGTACCTTCAATCCAACCTTTGTCCAACATTGTTTAGTTGATTATTTGAATATTGCATGATCGATGATACCACGTTTTGATCGATTTATCACTTATGCATGAGACTCATCGCTATTTTTAGATGATAATATTTTAACTTCATGCTAATTGACATCACGGAAGAGTATGCCATCTTAAAATAGAATCATCCTTTTTGTCAGGAAATGATTATTATTCCTGCGCATAACATTAATTGTCAGTACAATAATGTCAGTGTAAATTTAACTATAAATTTCTTTCTGCGCATTTGTTGAGTTTGTCCTCACAACTTGTTTAAAAATACAAACACGAGTGCATAATATAAATAAAGTGTCGTATTCACCCCGCAGCGATCTGGTATATTATTAATAAAAGGTGTAACAAGTAAATGTTGCTCAACGCGAAAATAGAGTAACGAGTTGAAAATTCATGCAAATGCACAATAGCATGTCTTTGTGCTGGAATGCACCAGTGGTTTACTGCAGTCAGAGACGAAAGATGTTATATTTCTAATCTTGCCACACGACCGAGATCTGTCGACAACTTTTTAGCTACCAGCTACACTATATTTATACTATATTTGATTGCACAACTGTTGCAATCTGGCGCCACAACAAATATTGCCAACAAAATTCCTCAATGTTTAGTTAAATCTTGGTTACTGTACTACGCTGTTGGTATATTTATTTTTATTTCCACTGTACGTAAAAATCGCGAAACCTACGCAATATCTTGTTCAATCCAATAGACAGAGTCGTTTAACAAGATAAACCAAGGTTCAAGTTTATTTCATCTGATAAATAAACAATCTTGTTCATAATGTGTAAAATTTTTATTTTACACATCGGAATAGAAATTAAAAAATATATTTACTGAGACGTGTAGAAAAATTCTGGACGTGCTTCATACAATTTACCACTTTCGATACTGATTTTAACATGACTTCATCGATTACTTATTGTCTTACCTTCGAATAGACTTCTTTCATGCAGTGTTTCACCTAAATAAAGAGCTGATGGAGTGGTACGAACAAAGGAACAAGAAAATTCGCAAATGCCTCGGAAATTAATAGACTTGCGATAATTCTTTGAGTTACCATTTTGTAATCGAGGATTTCTCCGCGAAAAATATTGTTCAATGAATTCTTCTACACGTCATAACTTCCGGGATATTTTCAAAATAATTCCAGTTAAAAATAGAAAACATATCGGACCCTTTCCCTTTTTTTCATGATAAATATTCATTCTTACTCATAAACAATGAAAAGAAAAAAAAATTATTTAGGGATCAAATGTCATTTTTTTCTCACAAATAAATAATCTTCTGATAATTCACAGACAAACATTAATAAATTGAATTTTTATAACAATTAGATTTTTCAATTAAATTTTTTTCGATTTTTTGTTGGAAAAGTATAACGAGTGGTGCATTGATTAAAAAATATATTTTGTAATTCATTTTGAATTTAAATAGTTTATTTACCAAATTTACCGTAAGGGTAATGCGATTTTGAAAGTTCTAAGAGTTCGAATTCTGTCCATATGATGGCAGCACTCTTGCATCTCAGGTGTTTCGCCACGCCAGTGGTCGTCTGATTCATTGGCAGTACAAACTAAACTCTCAACTTTTTCACATTTAACTTACGTGATTATTCCCTTTAAATTTATATAAAAACGATTATTGAACGTTAATCTAACTCCTAAAACAACTGATTCTTTTCCTGATCCTCTCCTTCAGTGGCAAATAAAATGCAAAGTGAATAGTGATGTGATGTGATGTGAGATTGGCGGAGAGCAAAAATGACAGCTTCGGTTGATAAATCGAAATGACTCCAGACAGCAACAATGTTCATTTGTAACTTGCACAGTATTTTTTGTCACGTAAACTATGACATAAGTGTAAATTATGCCCCGTAAGGAAAGAACGTAAGTAAATTGACAGTGTCAACTTAACCTCATCATTGCCATTTCGTCTCCAGCAGTACTAAGAACTATTATTTTTATTCAGCTCTCTATCATTTTTATTTCTATTCTGCGAAACCAATAATTTTTCAATTTATTTAGTTCCAACCTTTATTCAAAATCTTTTTTATTCAATTCAAGACTAAATTTATTCATTCTCAATTTCATGAACCATTACAGATGTTTTTTCAATTGATTTTTGTTGAAGAGTGAAAAACAAAATGATGGAATTTGTTCTGTTTAAAATAATTGTTCATTAGTCAATTGGTTGTTTGCTTCACACTTTAGAAATGCAAAAACATGGGAACGAGACAGAAGAAATCGTATGAATACATATTTCAAGACCCTATCAGATTTATTACCACCACATCAAGAGGGCCGAAAGCGAAACAAAGTAGATATTCTTATTTACGCAGCGAAATATATAAAGGACCTCACAAATCGTACCGAGGAGCTGTTCTATGCACATGCAGTAGATGCACACAGTGAGTTGATAACTCTTTTGAGAAATTTTGGGAATAACAAGGGAAATAAATGAAAAATTTGGGATCCACAGAAGAAGAACTAAATCGTCTGAAGAAGCTGGTGGGACAGCTTTATTCTCGCACCCAGTTACTGTCAACCCTCTTGAAGGAAGCTGGAATAACAGTTCCAGCAGAACCGGCACTGGAAAAAATTTCGCCCTTAAAGTGGTCAAACAAAATAAACGTTGACGACGTTGATAAATATTTAGATAGATATAATGAATGTAAAAAACCAGCTAAACGTAAGAGTAAGCCAACGGGTGTTCGTGTGCCCTCAAAGAGCAAGACCACCAGTTCATCCCCCAAAAAATTACCAACTGACCAAGACTCGTCAGAAATTGTGAGCATTCCGTCAGAGGACCAGGAGAATCACATGAGCACAAGTACAATCGATTCCGAAGTTTGCTGTACGCCTGAGACCCCCTCAAAGGACTCAGAATGTCGAAGTAGTGTTCCCCAGCCCTCCACCACTGCCTCACTCTCTTCAGGAAGTGCTGGACCAAAGTCAGGTCCGGGAATTCGTAAGCTAGAGTCTCGAAAAAAGATTAAGAGAAAAAAATCATCACCAGAAGAGGATAAATCGAAAAAGTCGACAGAGATTGGTGGTTCACAGGGTAATCAGGCCCTCAGCAATATAATCCCAGGGACACTGATCCTCTCAGGTGGAAAAATAATGCCCCTGATGACTCCAATAGCTCCTCTACCCTCAAATATCCTCGTAAATGCTCAAGCTCAAACCTCCAACCAAATAATTCTGGGCAACACCCAGGCAAATCCAATGATCGTGATGCAATCGATTGGCAGCAGAATTCAACATTCAGTTGTACCTGTTAGAAATCAAAATATTGTTAAGGCTGTGCAGAAAGTAACTCTCAATACTGTACCAAGTATTCGTACCAACGTTGGACTTAATTCACAAGACTGGGTATCAAATGTTAGAACAATTGTTGAAGCAACTAAAATTGGGGGTAGAAAAGGAATTCTCCCGAAAGGTAAAGAAATAACTAAAACCACAATGACATATAAAGTTCCAATTCCTGCTGTTCACAGAGAAGGAATTGTTTTTAAAAATTCAGACAATAATATTAGTGAAAAAATTGAGCCAAAAAGTAGAATAAAAAAATTAGCAAAGAGCAAAAAAATTAAAGAGAAGGAAAAAACTTCTGGCAATAAGGACGAAAAAAATATGGACACTGACAGTTCTAAGAGCGAAGAAAAGAGCAGAAAAAGGAAGAATACCGATGATGCGAACTGTTCTCCACCGAAGATCATTAAATCATCACTTCCAGAGACGTGTGTTTCAATAGAAAATCTTCGACACGTTGTTGAGAAGATTGGAGAGGAGAATCCTGAAAAATCCCAGAAACTGAACTCAGATAAATCAGAGTTCAGCCAGAATTCGATTAAATCCTCGGAGTCTTCACCTAGAGCCCCGAAAGAACAAACTTCTCCTTCAGAAAAATCTGAGAAGCCGACGGAGACATCGAAGCCTGAAGAATCCCTTAAGAAATCAAATCCTGAGGGGTCCCAATTACTTCCATCTCTTCTCGACTCGACGATCCCCAAAACATGTGAATCATCACCATCAAATCAACCACCCCCAAATGAGATACAATCTCCAAAAAACCCTACATTCGTCCCTCTAGAGCCACCAAAACCCTCCTCGATTCCTCCCCTCTCAGAAGTTGATAAAGTGATCGCAGAAGCAGAAGTCCAAATGCAAAAAACGAAAGACGTCTGTGATCTCGGAAGATTCGACAATCTCCTGAGTGCAACCAGTCAGCCACAAATCCCTGAGGACAACAGAACAATAATGGAGAGTGGAAAAATCATTTTAAACTTGGACACCAACACTACAACGACGATGAAACAAGATACAAATCTTTCAGCAGAGCTAATGCCCCCCAGATCATCTCCGAATGTTCCTGAGGGACTTTCGAAGGACGAGAAGTCGAAGGAACAGGCATCAAAGTCCCTGTCGTACTCATCAGGCAACACTTTCGTCCCAATCAACAGTAGAAACGAGGCACTTCACTCAGATCTATCAAACGATCTCTTCGCGTCTCTGCAGGTGCCCTCCAGCTCGCACAATCCAGAATCCATATCCCCTACTGCAGCTTTCTTGATGGCATTCCCCCTGGTATCATCGTTGAATGGAAAAACTGAGGTCCTGGAGGAGGAAATGAAGGAGGACCTGAAATATCACAGTCAGACACCCCCAATGCTCCTCCAGATAGGTACAATCGAGCCCACAATTTTCAAACCAAAATTGAGTGAAGAAAAATGTCCAGAGACACGTGATAAAGATAAATCATCCGAATGCCCTGATAAACCACCGGAGATAACATCCAAATCCCTTCCTAAAATCATCAACAACGAACCAATGAAGGAACGACTGTACAAAGTCGTGCCTTATCCTGAGCCGGTGATGACTTTTCCTACGACCTTAACGATTCCTTCACAGATTCCACACGCAGTGCCTCAGTCACAAGTTAAAAAAAATGTGGAAAATCCTCTGGAAAGCACCTCGAATAATGTGATAGTGTCGAAGTCTGATGACCAGAACAGAAAGCTTCAGAAAGTGGAGACCAGTATTCCTTGCTCTGCAATTCCATCAGCGTCAACAATACCTTCATCAATTCCTTCATCAATTCCTACATCAATTCCTTCATCAATTCCTTCATTAATCTCTTCATCAATCCCTCCTCCAAGAATCGATCAAACCCCTAAATACGATAGTAATATGAGATATCCCAGCCTTCCCGAGTTCGTGCCGAATTATTCCAACTTCACCACAACAGACAATCCGATGTCCTCGAACCCCAGAGTTTCTTATCCCTCGCACTCTTCCTCACAAGTTTCCTCTCAGCCTGTTTACACGTACCAGATCCCTCGTCAGACCTTCGTGAATCGTCCAAAGAACCTCAGCTCCATGGACAATCAGACAATCACTTGCACGATGTCCCAGACACGACCGACAGCTCCAGATTCTAATGACTACCAGAGAAATGTGAATCCGGTGATGCCAGTGTCTTCTCACAGCATTCAATACAACTATTCATCTCGGCCAAAGGACTCGTATTCTCATCAGCATCAGGAACAGAGGATTTACGTAGATCAGGGGCAGAAAGACTCATCGGCCTGTCAGAGCTCTTATCCAATGCACAAGGAGACACAGATGTACCAGGACTACTCGATCGTCAGTAAAACATCAACTGCCCTCGATTCCTCTCAATTATCACGATCGTACGTTCCACCGTTATCCATCAAAGATGCACCCCAGAATTATCAAACTTATTTACCGATCACTCCGTCCAAGGAGCAGACACGGGAGGTCGCAGCTGCGCCTAATCTAGGCCAAACCTACTCTGATCAATCGAAACAACCGCTCGAGACTTTCAACAATCTCCAGAGGGATTTTGATTCAACTCGAAAGGATTCTTTTGTTCCATCGACGTCAGCTGGCTCGAAGCTCCCGAAAAATCCACAGAATCAGGAAACTCAGAGGATTGAGACATCGATCTCATCAGCGCCGAACAAAATTCCTGAAAATCACTTCAACACAAACTATCCAAAGGGAAATCCTTCACTGGTTTCTGATCCCCTGTACCAGGTGAAACGGTCAGAGCCTCAAACGTATGGAATTTATCCCAGAGACCAGAAGAAGATGTTCGAGAATCCCTCGAATACTCAGATAAAGTCCCACGTCCAATCATCACTGCCTCGTTATTCCCATCAAGGCCACCAACAACAGCAACAGGCTAATGTGACGACATCCAATTATTGTCAGACAACAGTTACTGAGAATCTTGGAAAATCCACAACAACTGTAGCTCACAACTCGTCGAATTACAGCATCCTCTCCTGGACGACTTTATCCCCGATGGGTCTGGGGGGCAACAACAATCTCGTTCACTTTGAGGGAGGTACTGAGCACGTTGACGACAACGAGGGTAAAACAATCTGCGAGAACTTCAATTACAATCATCTGCACAAGGAGACAGTTGGATTTGGAAATATCATGCAGACAGATTCTCAGTATTCAACAGCCGAGGCAATCATCGATAAATCCAAAACAAAGATGTCGAATGAGAATAAACAGGGATTTGAGGACAACTCGAAGAGTAAAAATGTACCGACAATTCAGAAGCAGACGAGTAGACCTCACAATCATAATCAAAATCCTCAAAATCAGAGTATCGGGGATGACTTTAAATACAGTGGGGAGAATAAAAATAAGACTAAGTACTCGATGGACTCGGCGTACACTCAAACGGAGTTTGGGGCGTTGGACCAGAGGCACCAGGTGACCAAGAGCCAGCAGATACCCCAGTCGAAACCTGAGAAAACTTATTCGATTCCTTACGATTCTCAAATAACTTTCGACCTGCCAGAGCCTGTAGCACAGAGCCAAACAAAATGCCCTGATATTTATTCTGGAAGTAATTACAAATACGGAGAAGACAAGGATCATTCTCAGATAAAGTACCAACCGATTATCCAGGGGCAGCCCCCAGTGGTTTTGAATGAAAATGTGAGTTACAATTCAGGAAAAGGAAATCAACAGCAACAGAATATGAATAAATCGAAGAGTGTGCAACAGCAGATTCAGCCAGTGAGGGCACCAGTCAACTGGATGATGACACCAGAGGTGAAACACAACTCAAATATTGCAGATTTGATTCTCCCACCGATTGGAAAGGAACTCGATTTTTGTCAGAATAATATTTTCAGTCAGACGCCCTCTTATAATCAGAGCACGTCCAATCAATTTTACAATAATTACGAGGTGTCAGTGAGTGCTGCTCACAGTTTTTCAAATGTTGGCACTCTTCAGAGCGACCGATTTTACCCGGAGGAGCAGCCATTCACTTGGAGTCCAACGAAAAATCCTCAGAGTGGAGCTGATCATCAGAGTATGAAAACACTGGATCAACAGGTGGTGCCTTCCACGTTACCAACTCTAGTGGGGGATTTGGCATTGGGGACTAATATTCCTGAGAAGCAGAGTTTCCTGTTCAGTCAGATGCCACCGAGGAGCAATGATTTATCAAAGACAGTCAAAGATAAAGACAGCAATTTCCAGGTGATGTTGAACCCTCAGACAGGACAGCACTCGAACCAAGGGACGTCGTTTTTATCAGTGAGTCAATTGGTGGAGCATGAGAAAGCAGAAAAGAGTCACCAACAGAATCATCATTCCCATCAGCATCATTCACAGGGGCAAGCCCAGCCCAGAAAGCAAAGGAAGAGCAACGCTAGCCCCAGAACAGGTGGAAAAAGACAGATGGATATGAGGAAGCAGAGTAATGATCAGATGCAGCAGCACGACGAGCAGAAGGTGACGTCGAGCCATGGATTTTCGGATCAGTACCAACAGCAGCCCCAGCAGTCACATAAATATCAGCAAAACGACGGACTCTGGAGGAACAGAAACTGCAAGAGCAATTACACAGCTGAAGCTCTCATCGGGGTCAATAACACCAGCATTCATGATGGGAATACTGACAAGCAGCTTCATGCCCCTGCCATCAAGTTCTCAACTGATTACACACAAAATAAATTCCCTGGAAGTCTTGGGGCTGGGGAAATGGTGATGCCACCCATCAATTATCTCACGAATCCCGACGATGGGAATGGATATGGACAGGTGATGAACCAGAACTTCAATCATTCCTCGTACACGTATTCACCGAATACAAATATCTATCCCTCCACCAACTTTATTCCTGGGATTTCAAATACCACCAGTACTTATATGATGCCACTACACGAAAATCCAACGGATTACCTCGAGACTAATTCGTTTCTACTACCAAATGTCACTAATGTTCCAAAGTCTGTCAACACCTCGACCAGTGGATCATCATCGACGACTCGAGCAACTTCTTCGGGGGCTGCACCCACGAACATCAAAAATCAGCACTACAATGTTGGGAAGCAGCAGCAATGTGACAAGAGAAACTCGTATCCCAATGTCTCAAAGAAGAGCAAGAGGAAGTCTGATGCCACGATGCAGAACCTCGAATTCCCTGTGGGAGCTATTCCTACACCCATGGAGGATTATCACTCTCATCATCACACGCATTCCTCGAGTTTTCTGGCTCCACCACCCAATGGCAATCCTCTTTACCAGAACCACTCGATTTCGAATGCTAATAGGAGCAGAGCCTCCACTACTGGTGGAAATTCCGTTGCTATGGCGCATCATCCGTCCGGAACTAGTCTCACTAACTTCAATCTCAGCACAATATTCCCGGAGATTAATGATAAGGTAAGTTCCTCAGAAAATATTACGTGGGTTGATGTCTTTTAGATATTTATGCCGGTGTACCGATAATTCCGAAGTGTAAATTTATTCATAACTAGCGTACATAGCGCGCTTCGCGCTCCTCACCTCACACGTATGGGGTGTTATCATTTGACATCTAAAATCTAAATATTCAAAGAATCATAAATATCTAAAAAAATTACCCATAATTTATATTTTTTTCTTTAATTAAAATCAATTGATAAATACAATATTTTGTTTTCTTACTACTTACTCGAGTTTCTCGGGGATTTTTACTATTGGGAAATTTGATATATACTGATATATAGTGATATATAAGAAAAAATAGTATATAATATAAATATTATATATTATTTTTTAAATATTTTTTTATATTATATAATCTAAAAAATTTTAATAAAAAAAACATATACGTATATTGCGATATGCATAGCTTAGCTATGCGCCGAAAAAAAGCTGATAAAAAACGTTACATGTTTTTTTCTTAAATGGGGTTTTTGAATTTTTGAAAATGATCAGCTCTACGATTAATCGGACAATTGAATCGTCGTTTTCCCAAGTTTTTTTTCGATTTTATCGATAATTTGAAAAAACGTCTGCATATTTATACTTTTAAATTATCATATTAAAAAGCTTGGCTAGCTCAGTCGGAAGAGCATGAGACTCTTAATCTCAGGGTCGTGGGTTCGAGCCCCACGTCGAGCGAATTTTTTTTTTACTTGTTAAATTAATTTTTAATTCGATAAAAATGAATCTAAATTTAATTAATTAAACTGAACTGATATAATTTTGTCCATTAAGACAATATAATATAACCGAGCGATGAAATAGAAAACGGCGAATTGGGAAAAAATTGACGAAGGAGAAAATTTAAGAAAAAATAATAATGAAAAATTCTTTTACTGACAACAATTTCTCACAATGGATACGTTTCCGAAGGCTATATTCTTCCGAGCGGATTACGGTTTCGCAACGGTGAAATCGGTTTTGAGTTTGTATGAAATTAGTCACGGCTTTCAGGGATTTCCGAGTGCAATCCCAGTGCAGCCTTGAGTCATCGCTAATTAAAGAGAGACAATCACCGAACCCGTCGAAAGAATTCCTCCACCTCTGAGATTTTTTAATTCGACCATTTCTTCAATTTTCATTAATCAAATTGAATTAAATAAACTGCGATAAATGCAATTACATCTTTATCTTGGTATAAACTGGTGTTTCCAGCCTTGCTGTGTTTCCAACTCAATTGTCGTAATTCCTACTGCAACCCATGCACTTGGAGTAATAAAAGCTAATTAACATTGATTTTTATCAGGTCACAGGGTACAAGCCCCCTAATGCAATTCAGTCAGGCCTGTCTCAATCTTCCAATCATCCGTCAACGAGTTATACCCAACGGCCCAACTACACAACTAATAATGCTTTGGGTCACGTTGCACAGGTCAGTATGCCTCGCATAATTCCCTGCAAATGATATTAACATTTCAATATCTCGCAAATAAAAAGAGATAGAAAATTTTTCATGATTATCTTTCTAGTAGAACATAATATGGACTACAAAACTATTCATATAAAAATTTCGCTATCTCTATTCATTCAGGAGATATTTAGTAGTTATTAGTTGTTTTTACTAATGACTACAATTTTTCAGGTCTCACAGTCCGAGGCAGGTCAATTCACAACTGAAATACCTGCACCACCACCGCCCAGTGTACTTCACTATAAGACCACTTGACGAACGAAGAATGGAGCAGCCAATTATGGAAAAAAGTCGTACTAATTGTGGTAAAGATAGTCTAATGAAATTTGTACATATTATAGCGGGGTCCTTTCCACTATTTCTAATGACACCAGATGAAATTTTCTGCTCGTTTTAACTTTATGGGGATATTAAATTAAATATCAACTAGGTCTCAGGCGTGCGCAATTGTGCACACGCAAGGGAATTTAGCGCTTTAGCGCTGAAAATCCAACAGTATAATTGCATTGAAGATTTACCCGTTGTTTTTCGCCATTTCAAATCTTAGGACGGCAGTTTATAAAATGGTAGAAAAAATCGGGTAACTCCTCATTGAAAAAAAAGAATAAATACGATTGAAGTACTCAACTATGAAAATGAGATAACTTCCTCTTATGAAATGTTTGGTAAAATGGTTTAAACAAATGACGTGATGTGGAAGAAAAGAAAGGAATCATGGTCTTCATGACTTCCGTGCTCTCGATTCAGTTCGGGGACAGGTCTCGAAGTAAGAACACATTTTAATAAAACACAGTTGCATATTTTAATAAAATATCATTGCTCGAATATAATGATGTATGTTATTTATTAACCTGACTTCTGCAAAACCACTACTCCTCAATTCAACTGGGATCCTGCTATCGAACTTCTGTTTCATTCAAATTTTTACAGAGTTACATCCAATTTATAATTTAATTCAATTTATAACCGGAGAATTGAAAAGATATGTTATGAAATCGAAAAATTCAAAATTTCGAAAAAGTATCAGGAGAACATGAGAATAAAAGAGGTATTTCCTGAAATATAAAAATTCAACATTTTCGCAAAAGTATCAGGAGAACATGAGAATAAAAGAGGTATTTCCTGAAATATAAAAATTC